ATTGCAAGCCCGAGGATGCACTCGACTACGACGACAGAATTTATCCCCGCGCAAGTACGAGAATTGGACCCAGAAATCAAGCAAATGTTTCCCCGTGGCCTGGAAAACCGGTCGAGTACGTCAAGCCACTTGAGATCAAGAAAAACGGCAAGAAAGACACCAAATCCAAGGAAGCACTGGCTGCTATTGAAGCCGATAAGATCTCACGTGGGAAGCGACCTAAGTGGGTTCAAGACATGCCACCCGGCTACACTGCTCGGGGAGAGGATTTTGACGACGACGACCCTAAGTGTACCGCAACTCGCTTATGGATCCCTCCCCCAGAGAAAGTGATTCAAGAGAAGGACATTAACGATTACATGGAAAAGGCCAAGGGGATGACAAAAGATCTCGGATTGCCAGAACGTTCGACCAACCTGCAAGACGTAGCTGCCAACAAGTTGTTTCTTGCAGAATTCGACACGGAACATGCTCTAAAGGATCTTTCTGAGACCAAGAAGGAGGCATTCAAAGAACCAGAACTGACACCAGCAGAGCAAAAGAAATTTGAGGAAGCAGTGATAAAATACGGCTCTGAACTTTATCTCGTGAGAAAGCACGTCAAAACTATGCACTATGGGATGGTAACTCGTTACTACTACGCCTGGAAGAAGTCAGCACGTGGGAAGCAGGTCTTGGAGAACCAGGCCGGTCGCAAGGGAAAGAAGGAAGCCAAGAGAGCAGAAGCTGCTGCCAGTAAGCTGGCAGATGATGTCGCGGATAATGATGATGATTCTGCGTTTGATATTGAGAAAGCAAATCAGAAAAAGCAAGGATTTATGTGTCAATTTTGCTCCACGACTTTCTCGCGACAATGGAGGCGCGCTCCGAACCCCGTTCCCGGGATCGTCAACGATGGGGGCTCGAAGAACTCGAATAAGGAAAAGGGCCAAGAGCGTGTGGTAGCTTTGTGTCGTCGCTGCGCTGAGCTATGGCGCAGATATGCTATTCGATATGAAGATGTGGACGAGGTTTCCAAGAAGCTCAGTCAGAGCAACGGCCGAAGCTGGAAACGGAAGCTCGACGAGGACCTTCTCAGGGAGTTGCAAGTCGCAAAGGAAATGGGCATGATGACGCCGGAACGGGCACCGACTCCTTCAGTGACCCCAGCCGTTGCTACCGTACAAGAACCACCACGGAAGAAGCTTAAAGGCGCAGCTTCTGACAAGGATGTGGATAATGGTCACTCGGATGCTGCCAGTGCAGCCGGCTCTACCACTTCCAAGAAGAAGGACAAGAGTGTGGAACACCTTACAGTCCCCGATATCCCCAAACCTCTTGTGCTGCCTTGCGCAGTCTGTGGCCAACTAGAACCTCAAGGGGACCAGCACTTGTCGTGCCGCGAATGCCGCCTGACGGTACACCGCAACTGCTATGGTATCATGGATAATCGAACCTCCGGAAAATGGACTTGTGATATGTGTGCAAACGATAAAAACCCACAAGTCTCGATCGTATGTTGTCTCAAACCCACCTATAAATACGCCTGCGCTAACGTCGACCTAGCATTATAAATGTGTTCTTTGTCCCATCGAATACACAGAACATGATTTAGTGGAACAGCCGAAAATAACACATCACAAAAAGAAGATGTCGGAGAAGGATCGTGAGCGAGAACGCCTGGAGGTTCAGCAAGCTCGGAAAGCGGCGGACTTTTACCGCAAGAAGCAGGAAGAGATGAATCGGCCCGTCAACCCCAGGGAACCACTCAAGAGGACCGCGGACAACAATTGGGTCCATGTTACCTGCGCTGTTTGGACCCCAGAAGTCAAGTTTGGGAACGGCAAAGCACTGGAACCTTCGGAAGGTATTCCTTCGATTCCCAGGAGCAGGTACGATGAGACTTGTCAAGTGTGCAACAAACAGGATGGAGCCTGCGTGTCGTGCCATCAGTGTCGCATTCCATGTAAGTCCCAACGAGAGAGAAGAACAAGATCGGCCATACTAACTAGAATACAGTCCACGCGGAATGCGCTCGGCAACATGGACACGTTCTCGGATTTGAAGTGACATCTGTGAAGAGCTCGCGAAGAGACCAGTTTAGCATCGTGGCCATTAATGGGGAGAGTGGCATCATGTCGGCGACTGTGTGGTGCAAGGATCACGCCCCCACGAAGACGACGATTCATCAGATGCAAGATATTGTGGATGAATCGGGGCTCAATGCTTTACAGCTCTATGTACAGAACTACAAGCAGGCCGACCTGGCTCTGACAGGCACGGTCCGCAAGGCCAATCTCATGACAAACGCCGCCAAGTTGTCGGGTACAACGACTCAGCCTGGCCTACGCAGGTCCTCGACAACAAATATTCCCAATGGCGGGTGGGGCCAGCAACGAAATGGGGACACGGGAGACGTGGCATCGGATTCAAGACAACCAGGAGAAAAGGTCTGCATCACCTGTGGTATTGACACCAGCCCGAAGTGGTGGCCGATCGATAATTCTCAGGAACGCGAACTCACCAACGGGCACTACGGCACGCTCGGGAGCGAGGCACAGAAATTTGTAGAACAAAGACGATTCCAATGCCACAAATGTCGCAAGGCCCAGCGTACAGCAAAGTCGCACCCGCGGCGGTCTCCCCTCATGGCAGACGCTCCATTACCTTCGGCTCATGGCGCAGGCATACAAGGTACGACAGCGCATGCTTTGCGCAGTCCGCCACAGATGGTGCCTGCCCCTCGTGAAACCAATCCTTCTGCTGCTTATGCTTGGCCTCCACCAGTTCATGCTCCGACAGTTCCTCCACCACCAATGCAAGCACCTGCACTCGTCGCAGATCATGCCCTGGGCGCTCGGCCTGCTCCCCCTGCCCCATACGCGCCCCTCCCGCCTCAACGGCCATCATATAGTGACTGGGGACGACCTGCGAGCCAGCAAGGATCGCCTCCTCGACACATCAATGGGGGACCCCCAATCCACAATCCACCGCCGATGTCCACACTATCTTCGTTGCGACCACCTCCAGTTGTAGGACCAGGGCCTCCGCTTGGATCTTCACCACCTGCACCACCGCCAGCAAACCATCATAGTGGCCCCGCGTCCCAGCCTTATACCAACGGACTCCCTCCATCACCTCGACGACTGAATGGACCGGCGCCACCACCTCGCTATACTCATCCATATCAAACCCACGGACACAACGCTCCTCCGCCTCCTCCTCCGCCCCCTCCTCCTGCGTCGCACTTACCACCACCAACCCTGACGAATGGGGCACCACCGCCTCCGTCGCGGCACGATGGTTTCTCTCATGAACTTCACCCGCAGAGGCCGACTTATCCTGCCCCTCACGGAAGCCCAACAGGCCCTCAAAATGGACCACAGCCTCCCTCAAGTCGCCCAGCGAGTGGAGCAAGTGCCAGCCCCTCGCTACGAAATCTCCTTTCTTGATCAGAAGAATACAGGAGAGTAATTGCCCGTTGAAAATGGCCCACACTTGAGCGCACAGGGGAGACACTCTTGAAAGTCTAAGAGAGCGAACAACGGAGTTTTTGCTCGTCTAGATGAGTTGGATGGGGATAAAATCCTTCCATCTATATAGTATATATACAAACGGGCTAAGAGGATTGTGAGGTTCTGGAGTTGGTTTTGAGTGGGCAGGACTGATTGACTCATCAAACGCTTTGTTGCAACCCACCATCAGGAACGGGATTCGCAATTGGGTATGGACGTGTGTATGTATGAATGATGGGAAGTTAGCGGGATGCAAGCGAGAGCTGTCTTGTTCGAGTACTTTAGGTATTGTTGCAAAATCACACTAGAAGTATGCGGCGAATCTCGCCGTTTAATTTACTATAGACGAAATCAGGAATTGTCAATTGTCAAAAGTCGATGCCTTATGTAACTGCATCCTGAGAACATCGACCCTAGCTAATAAGGATTATTTCAAGGTATTTACTGCCTATAGATAGATCCCCCCTGACTTTTGTTATAACTGCATGCCTCAGAATGGGGCGCACTATGTTTCAACGCATATCCGTAACAGCCGAGGAATGCAACACCAGATCAAGCCACCTCGGGGTAAGGAAAAACAGCGGAACGGCTTACATCAAAAATCGCTGATCTCCCACCAAAGCCCGTCCGCTGTATTTTCTTACCCCCTAGAGCCATTCGATTCGTATCTAATCAACCAAGCTTGGCTTGTGCCAGGAAGTGAGCGGCCTGAGTGATGAAAGGAGTTGCCTGGGGGTAAGGAAAATCAAAATATTCCGTAGAGATGGACTCTTATATCTATCAAGAATCCATCCACCTTTGGGAACCTCATATATACAGCTTAGGGACGTAGGGTATCTGGGGACTCAAGCGAGCCCACAGATGAGCTTGAGCTTATCTAGATCGGGTTAGCATATTTTTTGCAGTGTTCTAATTTAGGGTATCTAGGTTAGTAGGTAGTATCTAGATAGGTATACTGGATACTCCGTAGGTAGGTACCTAATAGTCCTGGTCCCAAAGCTGCTACCTTACTGTGTAAGTAATGAATGAATGTACCAGCTACTAACCTAAGGGAGCCTGCCTTATGCTCCGGGCTCATTGGTGGCTGATGTGGCTCAGACTCTAACTAGAGCCTCTCAGCTCAGCTTCCAACATCAGCCAGAGACAACATCTTGACATTCATTCAACCTGCCTACCTAGGTTCCCTCTCCTCTTTTCGGCACTGTGTCGCCCTGTCTACTTGGCATCAACCCTCGCTGTAATTCTATGGAAACAAGAGGGCAGACAAACCAAACTGTGATTGACAATTCTTTCTTTTGTTCAATTACGACACATCGCCAGCAACCACACCTGTCCCTGACGATCAGCATCTTGCTGAACAGCACACAGCGCACAGCTCTCTCCTCGTCCTTCGGACCGTATAGCGAATCTCTGATTGCTGGCGTCTGCTGCGACGAAGCTGAGAGACGATTGATTACACATTGAGGAAGGTTCTAAGTCAGCGTATCACCATACCCACGATAGATCATGGCGCAAGTACTTCTGGACCTCTTCTACTCATTCGGGAACTGTCTTAACTGCTTTCCCGGAAACCCCAACCTCAAGATCAACAACCGGAGCTTCAAGATCTTGAGATTACTTGGAGAGGTAGACCAACAAACACTACTCTCTCGCACTCCACGTTGCTGACTTTTGCCAGGGCGGCTTCTCTTACGTATACCTTGTCGAAGATACCTCAAGCCACGAGCTTTTCGCACTTAAAAAGATCCGATGTCCTTTTGGCGCTGAATCGGTACAGCAAGCCATGCGTGAGGTTGATGCCTATCGGCTCTTTTCTCACGTTCCAACCATCATATCCGCTGTCGACCATTCCGTCGCAACCGAGCGCGGCGCCGACGAGGCGACAAAGACCGTTTATGTCCTTCTGCCGTACTATAAGCGCGGTAATTTGCAGGACATGATCAACGCAAACTTGGTCAACCACGATCGGTTCCCTGAGCGTCGTCTGATGTTGCTCTTCCTCGGAGTGTGCAAGGCTCTGCGTGCCATGCACGACTATAAGCCTGCCGTGGAGCGCATGCACATGGGCCAGGAAGAGGATGAGCTGAACCACGGCGAGAGAAACAACACACGAGGAAAGCGAACGGAGGAAGAAGAGGAGGGCGAACAAGAAAGGGGTCTGCTGGATGAGGAGAACCAAGTTAGTGGAGGTAGATCAATTCAGCACTACGCCCACAGAGATATCAAACCAGGTAAGGCTGCCCACCAGGGCACTATTCTCATTGATGCTCCATGCTCATCTCTATCTTCAGGCAACATAATGATCGATGACTCCGGCTCGACCCCGATCCTCATGGATTTAGGATCCGTCGCTCCGTCGCCAATTCCTGTTACATCACAATCCCTGGCCCTCCAGATTCAAGACACGGCCGCTGAACATTCAACCATGCCCTATCGTGCCCCCGAGCTTTTTGATGTTCAGACTGGCATGGTGATTGATACAAAAGTTGATATTTGGTCCATGGGCTGCACTCTCTACGCCTGCCTTGTCGGCAAGTCCCCCTTTGAGATGCGCTCAGACGAAACCGGTGGTACTCTGTCTCTGTGTGTTCTCGGTGGCGATTGGCGCTTCCCTGATGAAGGACCTGCTGGCGTCAAGCGTTCTAACAGCATGCGCCCGCAGCAAGGACAACAGCAACAACAAGCACCCGCGGTTGAGATCAGCGAGCCGATTCGCGATGTCGTCAGGAAGTGTCTGTGTGTTGAACCCGCTGAGCGACCGGATATTCACGAGTTAATCGAAATGGTTGAAGAGGTTATCGAGGAGCTTCCTGATGACTCCCATTAGATGCCGGCACGACGCATCTTTTGAAACGTGCAGCAAAGCGACGAATTGAATTTGAATACCAATAAAGATACCTCCCTCCTTTGTTGCTCTCTTATAGCTGGTTGGGTCACCTCCCGGGTCCGACGGTTGACTATGTTACATTTCTTCCTTGTCACTTGAAGGAGACGGCGTTTAGGGTTTGGAATGATAGAGCCATTTGCTGGTAATTAACTAAGTTCTTGTCTGGTAGCCGTCCCCGCCAGCCACTCCCTATTTACGTGCCGTCTTGAGAGCTGCTGCTTATCTGCATGTCCTGCTCACAAACTCAAGCGTTGCAATCTTAGTAGTAACCTCAGTAGTAACCCCCGTATGCTGGAAGAGCTGTTGGGTCAGACTTTTACGTCAAATCACAAATACGCGCACCTCTGAGCCTGAGCAGACACAATTTTCCCACTCCGAATCGCCCTACAGCTCGAGCTTGAAAGTTGCTACCTCAAACGGTCGCAGTGTGATCGGGATCTTTCCGTCTTCCTTCTGGATCTCTTCCAGTTCATCCTCTAGGATGTTCGTCTTGGTAACACGCTTGACATCGAAACTAGTTTCAATAACTCCACGACTGCGGCCTCCCAAGGACTCATACACACGAAGAATAATGCTCTGGCCCTTGTTGATGCGCAGGCCATCATCTCGGCTGACGTCTTCGTCATCCTGGCCTCGCTTGATCGTGTCCAGTACAAGAGAGTCAGACTCATCAATATTGACAAGTTTGATCGGCGCACTGGACACACTTTCCAAGGCGGCCTTTGAAGCAGTCACGGGCTTCAGGGGGTTGTTGAAAGCATAAGCAGCCTTAACAGTGGTAGACGATAGACTGCCCTTGTGAGGTAGGATGGCCCATCGGATGGAATGACGTCCCATATCGGCGTTGGCATCAGGCGCCTTGGGTGCCCGTAGGAGTGACAGTCGCATCGTCTTGCCTGCAGTCGCAAAACCATACTTGCTGTCATTGAGAATAGAAACGCCATAGTTGTTCTCCGAGAGATCAGCAAACTTGTGGCAGCACACCTCAAACTTGGCCATGTCCCAGCTTGTGTTGTAATGGGTTGGCCGCTTGGTGATGCTGAAAGCGGTCTCGTAGGAGGCTTCGGTATTGACTACATTGACAGGGAACTCGACCTTGAGGAACTTGGAGTCCTCATGCCAGTTGACGTCTGCCCTGACATCAACCCGAGAAGGTTGCCCTTTGAGGGCTGCAGAGAGGGTGGTGTATGACTTGATGTAACTGTTCTCGCTGATCTTGACATCAGTGACCAGGGTGACTCGATGAGGCTTTTGTTCAAAAATATTTGTCTTTCCATATTCGACCTTTCTGCGTGCGTCGAGATGGTATACCTCTACATCCCATGCTTGCCAGTAAAGAGGAATGTCATCGAAGATTACAAATTTGTTTGCCTCTCCACCCTTTTCAATAACCTCACGATCGTTGACCACATCGTAAAGAGATGTAATGACACCGCTTTCGACGACAACGCGGAGTTGCTCGTTTTGCAGGACATAAACATCGGTAGACTGCTCCATGACGGTAACCGCAGGCTGTTCTTCCTGTGTTTTAAACGTGCGAAGATTGAGCAGCTGGCCATCGCCACAAGCAACACCGACTTCAGTATCAGAAAGTTCAACAAGCTCCTTACGGTGCCATGGCAGGGTGTTGATGGCAACAGACTCGTTGAGACAGGTTGAGAATTCGCTAGAGACGTTGAGTGATTCGTACAAATCCTTCAGGAGGCGTTTGCCAGTCTCAAAGACTTCAGCATAGACCTATGTCATATTAGCAAAGCTCCCGCAGTTATGGGACGAAATACCTTATCCGAGTCATCGTAGCACATTTCAATGCTACTTCCTGGCAAACAGTCGTGGAACTGGCACAGGAGAACAGCCTCCCACATGTCGTCCAAGTCCTTGGTCGGGTACTTGTACGACTTGTTCTTGATTGATGCGAACGTCGCCAATTGTTCAATATCTCGCAGCATCACCTCGGCTTTTCGATTGTAATACTTGTTGTTGGCTTGTGTGGTATACGTTCCTCTGTGTAGTTCAAAATACAGCTCGCCATACCATGTAGGGAATTCGCTGGCCTTGCGGTTGAGACGGTCGAAGTAGTCATCAACTGTCAGCCCCATCTTGATCTTTGGGATACCGCCGATGGTGTTGCTGATTCCGGCACATCGTCGGAGCTTTTCGAAGTGTTGCCAAGTTGGGCCACCGCCGCCATCACCCTTTCCAAAGACAAGTAGAGACGAACTGTCAACACGCATTGTTTTGTGGTTTGCAATGCTCCTCTTGAGATCACCGAAATCAGCGTTCGCTGTATATGTCTCGGAGGGAGGCATGTGGCAGATGACCTGACTTCCATCAGGGCTTACCCACATGAAAGTAGTGTGAGGAAAGTTGTTGATGTTATTCCAGCTCAGTTTCTGGGTCAGAAAACGGTCCATACCAGCTAATCGGCAAAGCTGTGGAAGCTGACTTGAGTATCCGAACGTGTCTGGCAGCCAAAAGGTTCGACATCGAGAACCAAACTCGGCCTCGAAGAACCTCTGGCCATAAAAGAACTGGCGGACAAGTGATTCGCCGCTGGGCAAGTTTGTGTCGTGCTCGACCCAGCTGCCACCGATAGGGTGAAATTGACCCTCCTTGACCTTCTGCTTGACACGTTTATATGCAGCAGGATAGTACGTCTTTAGCCACTTGTATTGCTGGGCTTGGGAGCAGGCAAAGTTGGATTCTGGGTAGCGATCCATGAGGTCGCATTGATTCATCCATGATCGAACGACCTTGCGCTTTGTTTCAGCCCAGGGCCATAGCCAACAGCTGTCGATGTGGCAATGACCGATTCCAAAGACAACAGGTTCCTTTCCTCCTTCGTACACCTTATGAGAGTCTACATCAGGGCCAAGAATTTCACGAGCAATCTCGCGGCATTTAAGGATCGATTCCTGATTGTTGACCTCAAAAGTGTTGATGATCTTCATGGCAACAGATAAAGCATGGTTCTGTTCAGCTGAGTTCTCGGGCAGTTCTCGAGCAGCATCACCAATCTCCCACATATCTAAGTGGAGTTTGCGAGCTGGCACATTGATGGCGACTATATCAGCCTTGCTGAGGTTGAAACGCCTGTTGGGATCCGGCGGTGCAATGGTTGTCGTGCCGTTAGGGGCGTTTCCAAACATGCCGTTACAGGCCATCTCGATATAAATTGTGTGCTCCTCTCCGTTGCGGAATGAGTCGGGAATGACCCATTCGATGCGCTCTCCGCTGCCAGTGAGGCCTTGAATGGGAACACCATCTTCGGTCCATATGGTGCCCTCGTTGTTGGCATCCCAGTGGAGCTCAATGAGCTCTTCGTCCTTTATTTCATCCGGTATACGGAGGACAACCTTGAACCAATGAGTGGACCACGAGGGCCCAAAAGAGGTGCCGGTATGGGTCTCCTTGAACTCGTGGCTTGTAGCTTCTTCAAAAGTTGGCCTGGAGAGATCTGGTGCATCCCACACTGACAGTTGAACATGAGGTTTGCCCGAGTACCTGCCGTTGTACATGCTCCTATGAGGCACGTTAGTTCTTAGAAATTCCGAGTGAGTGAGTTGATAATGCCATACGCTTGCAGGTTCACCTTATAGTACTGTCCTGACTTGTAGAACGGTTCAATGCGGCCTTTCAGAATGCTTGTCTTTGGAACGCCAACAGGCCGTTCGGCGAAGAGAGGGTAGGAGGAGCCATCTCCCTTGTTTTCGCTGCCACCACCCATAGTGTAAATGTCGGGATGCCCAGGAGCAGGAGGAGCAGATCGATTTGAAAGGCGCCGAAGCTTTCCGGAAGATGAGTGTAGCGGCTGGTCTTCCGGTGAAGGGGAATGACGACGACAGGCTGCCGAGGTCGAGAGAAGGCGGTCGAATGTGTTGTTGATACTGTAAGGGAATCGTGAGCGGGTGCTTGACACTTCAGCGTTATTGTCAAGCAAAGAAGAATGAAGAATGGAAGGAGCAGAATCTCGAGATGGGGCACAGCACGAAGGGAGGGAGGAGAGTTAAAATGGATTTGTATAAGGTAAGATAACTAATCCGCGTATGTTCAGAGGAGAGTGTTGTACGTATGTCAGTGAAACGTGAGAAGCTTTGTGTTAAGCTCTGTGTTAGGTCAAGTGAGCTCCATTGAGCTTCAAGGAGGCGAAGACAGGTGCCGAGCGATGTATTGACAAAAAAGTCTATGCATACCGCCGCCTGTCGATCGGTAGACTAATGTTGATGTATTTTTTCGATATCCACGAACGCCAAGCCGAAATGGAAGCGGGGGATGCCCACTACCAGGTGCACATCCATTCCCATCGAGTACCTTGACAGGGGTTGAAGCGCTTGCGGCACAGCAACCGGGGGAGAGGACACACTAGACTCGGAACGAACAACACTCTAAACCAAGCAGAGTTTGGGAATGGGTCCATGTGATTCACTGATCGGAATTTGGGGAATTGGTGGTGCGGGGAGATGGATCCGGTGCTTCAACTTGATGCAGCATAAATCACGTACCTCATCGCGTTGCTGTACGATTCTTTATTGATGAATGATACTCGGGTAGAAACTAGTCGCAATATTATATAAGTCGGCGCATCCAAGGAATTTTGGACAGGACAGTTGTCGTGGGTTGGCGAAGAGTAATAATAGGATAAGTACTAAGTTAGGGAGAATGCGAAAAGCCACGGGTTGATAGATCAGAGTTGCAATAAGCCTTGGGCTACGGAACACAATATTTATTTGCACTTTCTGGGAGTTACCTTACCTCATCTGTGATTTGACCTTCGGCAGCCACGATCTAGGTAGAAATTGAAGTACAGCAGGTCAGTATCACAGCAAGACACATTCATTCACAAGCACAAAGCGACCTTCTCTTTCAGTCAGATGTTCCAAATATTACCTAAGGTACCTACCTATCTCACTTAAGGTAGTAGGTACCTTAGTGATGCAGCT